TTTATGTTTGTTGTCTGCCCAGATCTCTTCCTTACTGAAGTGTCTGTTCATGTCCTGTGCCCACTTTTTAATTGGGTTATTTGTCTTTTTCTTGAAGAGGTGTTGTAGTTTCTTGTATATTTTAGAAATGAGTCCCTTGTCTGATACGTCCTTGCAAAAGATTTTTTCCCATTCTGTGGGTTCCCTTTTTACTCTTCTGGTGAAGTCTTTTGATGTACATCATATATGTAGTATTTTAATACACTTAATTTTCTTAAAGCAGTTTAAAGTTTATAGTTTCTCCTATTAGCATTTTGCATTTGTGTGGTACATTTGTTACAATTGAAGAACCAATATTGTAAAAAAAGATTTTTTTGCCATGCAGTTGATTCTGACCCATAGCAACCCTTTAGGACAAGATAGAGCTACCCTCATAGAGTTTCTAAGGCTGCCATCTTTTCAGAAGTAGATGTCTACATCTTTCTCTGATGATACAGCAGAGGGAGGTAAAACACTAACATTTCAATTAGCAGCCAAGAGCTAAACCACTGTGCCACCAAGGCACCTTAACCAATATTGATATTATTGTTATCTAAGAATTCCTGGTGTGGCACTGCAGAATAACCACTGGTCTGCGAACCACAAGGTCAACATTTCGAACCCACCAGGTGCTCCTCAGAAACCCTGTACAGGGGTGTTATGAGTCGAAACTGACTTGATGGCACTTAACAACAACTTTATTACCTAAAGTTCATCATTTCCATTGAACTTTATTCTCTGTGTCTTACAGTACTATGGGTTTTGACAAATGCCTAATGTTATATGTCCAGAATTACAGTATCATACAGATTGTATTTGCTGCCCTTTGAATTATATTTTAAAACAATTGAAGTTGAAGGTAACAGTGCTGTTGTCCTACCTGCACATTATCACTGTACTTTCTTTTCTGTCCTGTAGTATCAGAACCATTTGCATCACTTGATGGCTGCCGTTCAGTACTTGGTGATATTATATCTTAACTCTGCTCTGCTGAACATTAAAACATTAAAAAGCAAATATATTGGTTTTAATACTTTTTAAAAGAGGGAAATGCTGGTTACTGTATTCTATATTCAAAAGAGGGAAATGCTACCTGCTATACTCTAAGGAGTCCTGGTGTGGCACTGTAGGATAAGCACTAGATTGCAAGGTCAGTTTGGACCACAAAGTTGGTGGTTTGAACTCGCCAGTCACTCCTCAGAAACCTTATACAGGGTCGCTATGAGTCAGAGCCAACTCTATGGCACTAAAAAACAACAGCAATCATATTGTGAATATTTTGTGTGCATGTCTGTTTTCATATCTGCCATTATGCTAATGATAGAGTTGACTCTGTAAATAGTTGGTGGGTGAATAAATAATGAGTGTTGATATCTTGGTGACTCTGTGTTCCCGAATATGTCTTTATCACCACTTAATGGATTTCCTTATTTCTGGTGCCATTCTCTTATCGTACATACTCAACTGTTGTTATTAACTGCCATCGAGTTGCTTCCAACTCATAGTGATCCTGTATAGGATTGAATAGCTGAACTTGCAGTTAGCAGTACAGTGCTTATCCTATAGTGCCACACAGGACTCCTTGTACTTTACACTGTTGTTTTTGTTAGGTGTTGCCAAGTTAGTTTGGACTCATAGTGACCCCTGTGTACAACAAAACAAAACACTACCCTGTCCTGCATCATCATCCTTACAATCATATTTACCGTTGAGCCCACTGCTGCTGCCACTGTGCCAGTTCATCTTTTGGGGGACTTCCTTTTTTTCCACTGATTCTCTACTTTATGAAGCATGATGTCTTTCTCCAGGGATTGGTCCCTCCCAATAATGTGTCTGAATTATGAGAGACAAAATCTTGCCATCCTGGCTTCTAAGGAACATTCTAGATGTACTTCTTCCAACACAAATTTGTTTGTTCTTCTAGAAGTCTATAATACTTTTAATATTCTTCTTTAACACTATAACTCAAATGCATCAATTATTCAACAGTTTTCCTTATTCATTGTCTAACTTTCACATGCCTGTGAAACTATTGAAAATACCATGGCTTAGGTCAGACACACCTTAGTCCTCAGACTGGCATTTTTGCTCTTGAGCATTTTAAAGAGCAAATATGCCTAATGCAATAGGTCATTTGATTTCTTGTCTAATCCTTCCATGATATCCCATCACATTTACTATATTCTGTTCATTAAAAGGAAGTCACTAGACTTGACTAAACTAGACTAGTCTAGATTATGGAGTCTTTGTGTGGTGCTGTAGGATAGGCACTGGACCACAAAGTTGGCGGTTCAAAGTAGATGAGACTAGACTGTACTGTACTGAATTAGACTACACTTTATTGCAGTGGACTAGGCTAGACTAAACTAGACTAATCCACACTCAAGGTTGGGGAGAGGTGTTAATAGAAGGGCTTGAATATAGAAGGTGGAAACCATGAGGGGCTCTTTAGAGGCTGCCGACCACAGTAGTCTTGGCTACTTAGCCTCAGGACCTGGCTCTTTGTCCCCACTTCCACTCTCTAGAAAATTCTTCTCTCTGGAAGATAAACCGAAATCACGTTCACTAACATCCAATTGATTCTGTGACCCACAGAACTCCCTCTAGAGAACAGAACTACTTGATTGGGTTTCCAGGGTGTGACCTTTGGGAAATAGAGTACCAGACTTGTCTTTCAAACACCTCTGTGTGGGTTCAAGCTGCCAACCTTTCAGCAAATAGCTGTTTGTGCTACTCAAGGACTCCTCTAGAAGAAGTTGTTGGGTTTCATCAATTAAGTTCCAACTTATAGCAACCCATGTAACAGAATAGAAATACATCATAGGGTATTCTTGGCTGTAATCCTCTTGGAAGCAGATTGCTCCCTTGGAGCCTCTGGTTCGGTTGGAACCCATGTTTTGGTTAGCAGCTGAGAGCTTAACCATTGTGTTCTTAGGGCTCATTTCTCTAGAAGATTTGTTGTTCTTGTTAGGTGCCATCAAAATGGTATTACTCATAGTGATCCTATGCACAACAGAATGAAACACTGTCTGGTCCTGGGCCAACCTCACAATTGTTGTCACACTTGAGCCCATTGATGCTGCCACTTTGCCAATCCATCTCTCTGAGGGTCTTCCTCTTTTTCTCTGACCCTCCACCCTATCAAATATGATATCCTTCTCCAGTGGCTAGTCCCTCCTGACCATATGTCCCAAGTATGAGAGATGAAATTTGTCCATCCTGACCTCCAGGGAACACCTTTGGCTGCACTTCGTCCAACACAGATCTGTTGGTTCTTTTGGCAGCCCATGGTACTTTCAATATTCTCTTCCAACACCATAACTCAAATGCATCAATTCTTCTAC